TCGCCATTACGTAGCTTATGCAAACAGAAATCTAAATTGAGCAACTCGCTTACGTTATTTACAAAATATCCTATCTAACCTTACCTCAAATCCAGAATCTTTCTGGCAATACATTAAGGGATTAAAAACAAATAATTGTATACCACTTGGTAGGTACTATGATTTTTATTGATAAGTCATCAACAGGTGGTCCTGAGGTCGCTAATCTTTTTAAAGAATTTTTCAGTCCGGTCTATTCTACTAACAACTTAAATATAAGCAAATGTTTTGATTATTCGAAAAATTATGAAGACATATACCTACAACCATATATCAAATTTACTGTTAGTGAGATCTTTGAAGCCATCAATTCCTTAGACTAAAATCCGTGCCCTGGCCCAGATGGTTAGGTTACTCACAAGTTGGACTGGTAGAATCCATTGAGCGTGTACAAAGAAGATTTTTATGTTTAATCGCATATAAGAGACGTATGCATACTAATATTCACCCATCCGAGTCTATTTTCTTTAATTCTATACAGGTATCCCTTCACCTAGACTCCCTTGTTAATATACGAAAATATTCAGATATTTGCTTTCTATATAAATTAGTTAATGGTGTTATATCTTGTCTAGAACTATTACAGTCTTTACACGTCCATGTTCCTAATTTTCATTCTCGTTCTTGTCCAATATTTGAAATCCCCTTTCATCGAACTTCTTATGGCTTTAATAACCCAATTGATCGAATAGCCAAAAAGTGCAAACAATTGAAAAATTTTGATTTGTTTATTTTAAATGATTTGTATTCCTTAAAACACTGTTTCAAGCAGCCTAATGATCATTAAAAATTATTTATTAATATTTTATAAAAWTTTTTTAATATTATGTATGCAATTTATATTACTATTCTACTTTTATCTTTATTTTAACAATATTACTACTATACTTAATTTCAGTTTACTTGAGCCCACCTAGGCGTTTATACCAAATAAATAACAACATAAACGACAAGATGTCAGGATATGCCATTACTCGTTATCATAACATGTTTACAATAAATTCAAATTTGTCAAAATGTCTTGAAATATTMCATTGTTACATTGAATACTCATTAAAATAAGTATTTGAGTACAAATACAACAAAAAAGTTCAAAAATACTTAAAAACAGTAGTTAGAGATATTTTTTTATTTTTTAGAAATACATTTTTTTTACCTCACAAATCAACTAAATCTGTTATTTTTTATATTGTCAAGTTTTACATTAATTTATTAGATTTATTTTATACCCTGATTATTTATTGTATGTTTAAATATTACTTGTTTGTTTTTCAAGTCAATGTACTTTAATTTTCAGTTGGGTATAAGTCATGTAAAAAATATGTTATTTTTATCTATAATATCTATAGATATATTAAAATACTAGATATCTGACATGCTATAATCTATGTAAAGTTGAGCATAAATTCACAATAATGTTTAATAAGTATTTGAAGTTAGCAGAAAAAAATCACGAAAATTTGCAAATTATTTTGGGTTGGAAATTCATAAACATTTTCTTTTTTTCATCTAAAATTTAATATAAGATTGCTTTTAAGTTTTTYTACCTTGATAAAAAAAGTCGAATTAAATTTCAAGGAGCATTCGAAATTCAAATTCCATTTATCTTGAGCTATTTTATTATTTTATTGTAATTCAATATAACGAATAACCGTTARTATATTAAATTTACATGATAGGTATGTTTAGTATGAAATTTTATATACTTGATAAAATTTACAAAATATTTTGACTTGTTTTGAGTTATTAACAAATATTTAAAATTTTCAATTTAAGATATTTCAATTTCTAAAGTAGATATACTATTATATTTTATAAACGCAATGAAATTAATTTTCAAATTCAATTTTTTGACAAAATTTAATTTAATTTACTGTAATTTATTAGTATTAATGCTTTATAATAAAATAAAATACAATATTCACAAAAATATCATAAAATATATACTTTTATTAAAA